GCGAGAACCTTTCCTGTCGTAGGGGACCGCGGGATGTACAGCTGGCGCACTCGGCCGGAGCGGCGAAGGGTCGACGCGGGTTACCGTGTCGTCCCCGAGTTGTCTTTAAAAAAGTTGAAAGCCTAAGTTTCTCCTGCGTGACGCGGCCGGGAGGGTCCTCGCTCGCGCGGGGGTCGATGCGCTCGACAGGTGGCGCCGTTGCCGGGGATAACGGCAAACTACCGTTGTCCTGGTGGAACGACACTCGGGAATGGAGTAAGTAAAAGATTGTGCCGTAGTGGTTGTCTAAGAAAAATAGTTAGTAATCTCTGAGTCTCTTTAAATGTAAGGAAGGAACCTTAATAGATGTCACAAAAACTCCTAGACTGATTTCTTGAGTTTATGTTTTGGTTTCTAGATGGCCGGTGCTGAGGGAGGTCACGATAACGTTGACAACGGGAGGAACGACATACAAGAACTGGCACGGGTCATCCGACAGTCGCAGCGAGAGCCCTACCCCAAGATTGATGTCCCGTTGTTCGATGGGAATCATGCCTCTTCTTGGGCAGACAAGCTTGAGCAACTGGGGTATAGCAACGAATGAACGGATGAGAAGATGCTTCGCATGGTTAAAAGGTATTGTCAGGTGGAGTACCGAGATGAGATCGATGAGCTGGTGCAAATCTCCCGTAATTGGTCAGATTTTAAGACGCGGTTGCTGGAGAAGTATCAACTCAGCGATCGGTTACTCGACCTGCGAGATTTGAGGGCGGTGGATCGTAAGAAGTTTGGTACTACCAAACAATTCTTATCGGAGTTTGAGCGCGTGGCTCGCCTAATCCCGGATCTGTCCGACAATGATCGCTGCCTCATGTTTCTTGATAACTTCAACGACGTCGAACAATCAAAATTGGTTGAAGGGATGCAAGGGAGGTATGACTGGACTAGGGTCCGACAAAATGCGCTGGTGGGGAAGTTCGACGATATCCTCTACGGGCTGTTGAGGCAGCAAAAGGAGGAGCGGGAAAAGGGGAAGCTGGGAGAAGTAAAGGACGGTGAGATTTACAAAACTTTGACCTGCATGAGAGAAATGATGGAGGGCATGAAGGAGGAAAGGCTGAAGTTTCAAGTCATGTTGGCCAAAGAAAAAAATAGTAAGAGGAAGGGGAAAGAGCCGGCAGAAGAAGAAAGCGACAGTGAGAGCGAGGAGGAAAATGAGCCGCCTCGCAAGTCGGCAAAGGCGGAGAGGAAGGTCTTGAATCAAATTCGAGGCGGAGAGGGGACCTCCCGTAAACAGGGGAAGAATGGCGGACAAAATAATCAAGGAGGGAATGGCAATGCTGGCGCTGGTTCGTCAGGACAAAGTTCCCAAGATCAAGGGTAGTTTCAACCGCAGGGTGGAAGAGGCCACGGTCGAGGTCGTGGGAACGGACAACGAAACCGTTGGGCGTGGCAGCAGGAAGCCACATGTAACTACTGCACAGAAAAAGGTCATATTATGCGGTTTTGCCAACTCCTTTCCAGATATGAGAAGGAGGGAACTGTCTTCACTACGATATGCGGTGAAGTCTTTGATTACGAAGGGAACTTGATCGACCCTAGCATCGAAGGGGGTATGAGGAAGGAGGCATTTCACCGAATGGGTCGTCCGCTGCCGGCGACATTCCGGATTGCTTCTCCCGAAGAAGCGCAGTTGGACGAGTTTGAGGAGGCCATGGCTTCGTTACATATTGACGACTCGTCGACGGAACCAGAAGGGTTTAGGGAATAAGTGGTGGAACGAGCACAAACCATCACTAGGCAGCTTGCCCGGTGTCGGGACTCTATTATCCGACTCTGCGTGGACATGGAGGAAGTTTGGCCTGGATTGTCGAATGTCTTTCTTTTTGGCGAATGGGGTGATAAAAGGGAGGAGGCGTCTGGCCAAGCAGGGACGTCTGCTCCGAGAGAAGCATCGCAAACTGGGCCAATGGTAAGCACGATGCGACCTAGGCCAGTGCTAAGGAGGAGTGCTCCGACTGTAGCCGTTTAGACTCGGGTGCGGCGACGAAACGAGCAGCTTTAGAAGGAAAGAGAATCTGAAAAGGCAGTGGAAGAAGAGCCTATCCCCATTAGTGAGAACGATGAGGATAACGAGGATGAGAAGTTACGGGCCGAAGAGGAAGAACGGGCTCGTCGTCGTGCACTGGAAAGGGAGCCGGAGAAAGGGAAGGCCGAAGCAAGCGAGGAGGAACCGCGAAAGAAGAAGAACATTTACTCGATCCCCGTGGAGCAGCGGGTCGATATCGAGCGGCTCGTTGATAAGATTCTGGAAAGTCAGCGCGACTTGGTCACACAAAAGGAAATTTTGGCGGTATCGCCAAAGATTCGAGAGGAGTTTAAACAGCGGATGACTCGCAAGAAAGTCATGACCGTTAAGCTCGGCGAAGTCATTCCGCCGGAAGCTAACTGGTCCCCGCCTGGGACAAAGATGGACTGGCGAAGTGTGTCAACCGGCCATATGAAGGTCCAGATTGGACAGCAGGAGTACTCGGCACTTGTGGATGATGGAGCCGAGATGAATATCATTCGTGAGCGCCATGCCATCGAAGCTGGGTTGAAGATCAACCGAGATGACTATGGGTTTTTGGAGGGCGCTAGCGGATCGACCCCATTCTGCGGGACAGCCAGCGGCGTTCTCGTCACGGTCGGAAAGGTCAAAGTCCGCTCTTATTTCTACATGTTACCTTGGGTGGAACACGAGGTGCTTTTGGGAAGGGCGTTCCTATATCGGTCGAAAAGCATCATCATTAACAAGCATGATGGAACCATGTTTGTAATTCTTTGCGATCCTGTCTGCGGTTATTACGAAGTGGTCAAGTGTGCGAACACTGAACCCTATTGCTCGCGAAACCGGCTGAACCCGGAATCCTATAGCTTCCCAGAGTCAGAAAAGTTGAGACGGGAGAAGGAATCATTAGGGGAGGAGCTGAATGCTCGTGAGTTCTCGCTGACCCTGCCCGATATTGGGCAGGCAATCGATTTTGTGTCGACACATGCGGCGATCAATCCAAATGTGGTGCATGCATTGACGGAGATCATCACGGACACCGGAAGCGCAGGAACTATGCGCCTCGTTTACTCCCCGTCAGAGGGGAATAAGGGAGAAGATCAGGAATTGCCCTCCACTCGACAGCCGTCAGAGGGGATTAAGGGAGAAGATCAGGAATCGCCCTCCACTCGACAGGGTCCTTTTTTAGAGGACGCAGGCTTGACACCGGCGCCAAAGGTAAGTACAAGAAAGTAGGCGTGAAGGCGAAGCCGGTACCTGTTCTGATCACCCAGGAGGAGGAAGTCTATTATCGTCAGGAGCGCGAGTGGATAAGAGAAATGAAAGAGAGAGGTGAAAAAGGGTCATGTCGGTTAACCAAAGAAAGAGTGGAAAGTATGATCATTGGGGAGGAGGACCTCCTTACTGAGCAGGAAAAAGGTTATATCATCGATATATTGAGGGAGGAGCATCTCTCCTATGCGTTTGATGATGATAAGCGGGGAAGGCTGGATGTCGATAAAATCTCGATGATTAGAGTTCATATTGTACCACATGAGCCATGGAATGTGAGAGGGCCACGTTATCCGAATCCGGAGGATCACCGTAAAGTGGTCGCGTATCTTGATGGAAAGATCCGGACGAAGGTTGCAGATTATTCTTACGGGTCATATGCATCTCTGTGGTTCTGTTTCATCAAGCCGAATGATACCTTACGATGGATTCGGGACCTTGAGAGGCTGAACTCGGTGACAGTGCGAGATGCAGGTGGACTCCCACATGCGGACCTACTGTCGGAGTCTTGTGTACGGAGGTCTATCATCACCCTGATCGATTTATATTCCGGGTATGATCAATTTCCCATTTACACTGCGGATCGGCCTAAGATAGCGATGCATACTCCCCGCGGGTTGATCCATATGTGTGTGGCACTGCAGGGGTGGACAAATGTTGTTGCCATTGTTCAGAGATATATGACGAGGGTTATGCAGCCTTATTATCCTAACATAACTTCGCCGTATATTGACGACTTGGTTATCCCGGGGTCTCATATGAAAGACCTGGCGGAGGTGTTGCCGGGCATTCGCCGATTCGCCTGGGAACATATCAATGATGTGGTGAAAGTTCTTAAGAGGTTGAAAGAGTTTAATCTCACAGCTAGTGGGATTAAGTCTCGGCATTGTATGAAGAGAGCAGTGAACTTGGGGTTCCTTTGCGACGAGAAAGGTCGTCGGCCGGATGCGAAGAAGACTAATAAAATCTTGGAATGGCCGACCCCCTTCCAAGTCGATCACAGATGTGCGAAGTTTTTTCGGGACCTGTGGATTTTGACGCATCTTCATCCGCAGGTTTGCCACCAGAGTGGAGCACTTGCGAAAGCTTGTGCGCAAAGGCCAGAAGTGGGGATGGGGTCCAAAGCAACAAGCGGCTGTGGAAGACATAAAGATTGAGTTCCGTGAGGGCGGATTGATCCTTGGAGTTTCTTTTTTCGACGATGATGAAAAACGTCCTTTTGTTATTGAGACTGATGCAGTGCCCACAACCCTGGGAGGGGTCTTAATTCAGAAGGACGCTGAGGGGCAGGAAAGACCTCTCAGATTTGAGAGTAGGACTCAGAATGTTGCTGAGAGGAACTATTCCCAGTTCAAAAAGGAAACTTTAGTCGTGCTTCACTGCTTCCGCATTTTTCGGAATTATGTGTTTGGTAGACGTTTCATCCTGCGGGTGGATCCGACTGCGTTGGCGCAACCTTTGAGGAATTATTCACCTGTTGATCCCACTATTGCACGATGGCTAACCTATAGTTGGATGTTTGATTTTGAAATTGAGAGGATTTCGGGGAGTCGAAATTGCGCCGATGGGTTGAGTCGGGTGGAATGGGATCCAGAGTCGGATCATGCAGAAGAGTCAGTTCCGGTCTATGCTTTTCTGAAGGAAGAGGAGTTGCGGTTGAGTATTAACTCTCTTACCTACCTGACTGACGCAACCACTCCACATGGGGGATCAATATGGAATGCTCCTACCTTTCACGAAGTACGTCCAAGACTCGTGGTGGATGAACCTTTCATCGAAGAGGATCCATGGGGCAAACAGACCACAGAGGAAATGATGAGACTGACTTTGATCGATGACATCGACCTTATGCTTTATCCGCTAACGATTGAATAGGGCCATACGCAGGCTGATGACGCTTTCCAAACCGTTGGAAGAATGTCATATATCATGAACTTGTTGGTTCATGAGGATCGCCTTAGGGTAATGAATGCGGAGGAAGGAGGCAGTGAGGTCAAGGAAGCGTTTAAGGAATAAGAGTACGAAGGGGAATATAAAAAGATAGGCATGTGGTTGAATGGGGAATTGGACGAGAGTGAGGTTAATCTGGTCGTGCGAGAGAAAAGCAAAGGATTCGTTGTTCGTGATGGTCATCTCTTTAAGAAAGTTATTGATGGTGTCCCAAAGAGGGTGGTATGTGGAATATCTCGACAGTTGGATGTGATCGCTGCCTTGCATGATGGGGTAGCCAGCGGGCACAGGTCTGCGCGGGTATCCCTGAACAAGATCCAACGTCTCTATTTCCGGGAAGGGATGAGCAAGATGGTGATTGACTTTTGTAAATCTTGTTTCCCTTGTCAACATGGGGCATACGAAATAGAAGAGTTGGATGAATCTTGGGGTAGGAATTGGGTATCGGGTACACATTTACGGAAGTTTATCCCAAGAGTTTAGTGAAAACTTTTAGAAAGGAAGGATAGAGGAGGTAATTGGTGGCGTCAATTTTTGTAATTCTTCTTGCTCTCGTATTGTGGTTCAGTTGATTCTGACTTTTGCCTTAGGCTAACCGAGGAAGTTGTAAAGTATTAATAAAAGTATTGAGATTGAAAAATTATCAATGGGATTATAATTCCTGTTGTTTTGTTGAAATTTTATAATGGATCTGTGCCTTACTGTCACAGACGATCGTAAGATGATCATGGTATTTTTCTCACAATGGTCACCGTGCATAAGAGGTACTGGATGTTATTTGTAAGATAGGAGAGTGATACCAAAGGACCTTGTGAGATTCTTATCTCGACTGGATATTCATTGCAAGAAATGTATTGTGAAATAGCTGATGGATACGCATATTGTTAACGTATTCGTCACATATGTGAAGGACTGAAAAAACCTGTAATTCTTATGGGACTCCGTGTATGCGGTTATGAATGCGAGATTTCGTCGGTGCAAGTCTAGGGGGATAATATGTACTTGGGTTATATGCCGGACTGGAGTAACAGGTGTTATTCGTTAGACATGTGATCCAATTATTTATCTTACCTTATGACTTGACTCTGTATTAATTGTCATGCAATGAGGAATCCTAATGGTGTGAGCCCCGTGGACGGTAGTGAGGCCTATGCCGGAACTTTGTTCCTAGTCCATAGCGGGATGTTGTCATCTCTCCTTTCGAGGAGAATGGCTACACTATCGTTGAAAGGGAGGAGGGTGGTAATATGTTTGTTGGAACCTTGGTTGTGAGGGTGGCGATTACTGCTCGCCATGAGGAAAAGATTGATCACCTTTTGTTTTGTGGCGAATGGGATCGCCTCAACTTTATGGCCGGGTCTGATCAGCTTAGGTCATAAGGAAGGGGTAGTTCAACCTTGCAGGCTGGGTACTAACAGATGTATGACACTGGAATCGAAGGGAAAGTGGTGAGGCTCGAGTCTAAAGTGGGGCTTGACGTCGAGATGTTATCCTCTATGGATTACACCACTCCTCGACGCATTCACAAGACATGTAGGAGATAAGTCATATATGATGATTAAGTTGGAGTGGGGATTAGCCGGACTGGACATGGACTTCTGGAAGCATGATTTCTCTCTGGGATGGTACCGACACATGTTTTAGTATAGTGTGAGTACCCTTGTGTTTCGTGGGGAGCCCGGGTTAAACTCTTGACAGCGAGAGACACGCTGAGGTGTTAGGAATGCACCCCCATGAACATGAGAGGCCCAGGTTAAATTCCTGGCGGTATGTGCTAGATGACGAAAGACCCTCAGGGGGTAAGGCCTGATGAGACCTAGATAGGGGGTTGAGAGTCCCGACAGGGGGATAAGCTTGACCCATCTATGAGAGAAAAAGGAATAATGAGTGACCGGCAGTGGGATGATGTTGAGATCATTCTTCTAACAAGTTCTTGTAGTTCTTCAGGTTGGGTAAGACCAACAGTGGATTCCCGATTCCCGGGAAAGGCCCGCCAGAGGTTATTTCTGGCCCTGTTCCAACTAGTGACTGAATGAAAGTGATCTCGAAGGAAGGTTCGAAAGAATCATAAGGCTTGAAAGTAAGCCTCTGTGCTAAAGGCTTTAAAGTAAGCCCTTCTTGTTGACGGTAATGAAGTCTACACGGAGTATTTCAAAAAGGGTGTCCGGAAGATTATGAAAGGAAAGGAAGATGAACGACGGAAACGTCGCTCATCCCGTATAAGTATATAAAATCTTAGTTAATTCCAGGTGTATTGTGATTATATGGTAAAGACGTCGCCTTGTATTGCCCTGCGGCAAGCGACGGGGACGTCGCTTAATGGGGGCGGGGAAGGCTGTCGGGACAGAAACCCCTGTGAGGGTTTCTACCCAAGGGTTTCAAGGTCAGACGCTGTCCGATTTTTGGATTTAGGAACTTGATGAGATTGACGTTGCCAGAGTTAGTCAGACCGACCCTATAATTGAGA